ACATATTTTTTATGGCAAGTTCTTCAAATGTTGTTAAAAAATCCGACTTATGGATAGTCCTTGAAAAATATATTTACATGAAGCCACGCTTATTGGTAGTCCTTTGGAATAATATTAAAAAATTCAAGCCTAGGAATAGTCCACACTCCTTGTTATTCCTTGATAGTCCTTATAAATATATTAAGGAATCCGAGTACATACAATAATACAAAAGTTCGGGTCCATTTGATCCGCTAAATATTGACCGATCTTTATCAAAACAGGCATGCTTATTCTTTGGCCCGATCCCCTTCTCAATGTACAAATTCGCTAAGTTTGGGTCATAATTACAGCCTCAGGAGCAACCAGAAAAGTATTTTGTAAAAAATTCACGAAATTGCATTAAAATACCACTGTAATCACGCCGAAAGGACATTTCCGTCGAAGGTCATTCTTTAGTTCAGTTCATTGCACTGTACAATCAGCTGAAGACCGGATGACCAATAAACACCATTCGATTTGACACGTGCCCCACAATATGTTCTTAAATGCAGCGCGAACTCATCCCCACCCTCCCCCTCCAACTAACATTGTATCGTTGCAAATATGCGATGATGAATGGCTGAAAATATTGGGATTTTTCATGGATAAGTAACTAGCAACCATGCCCAAGGAAAGGTGTCCTGTGCCATAAAGCATTACACTCGATTTAGTCCCAAAAGGAGACATTTTTGCATTGCAAAAAAGGAAGAGAAGTGTTGTTGTTGTTGTTGCTACGCCTTCACACAGCAATGACTAATGTTGCACGCAGCACACAAATGAACAGCAATGCCAAGGATTGATGACACTGCACTCAAATGCTGCCATGATTGATGAAGAGCAAATATGCCACACACACACACATATACACCAACACCAATACATACATACCTGTTTATCGAATAGCTGCAAGGAAACAGAAAAAAAGGGAATTTGATTATAGAAAGCATGCAGTAATTGAATGTAAAATGCATTCATTGGACACGTGTAATGTGGGATGGATTTTGTAATATCTATATCGAGGGATATGTAGGAGTGTGGCGGAGGCAGAGGAGGGGATCTGTTGTATAGTGTGACAAATGTGGTACAGTGTATGACAGGACATTATATAATATAACTACAACATGAATATTATTGATGAAGCAACGTTACTTTTTGAAATGAAAAAACGAGTAACTGAGTATTTTTTTTTATTTTTAGAAGAACATTTTAGTAATCGCATATTTAAGATTCAAATTTAATTTTAATATATCTGTATTTCCCTATTTTCGGTATTTAAAAGGTTTCATCCGTACTTTACAATATAACATTCCGTAATTCATTCCAACAAAATTATTTCTGTAATTTATAAATTAAAAGCACGGATTTAAAAAAAAATAAATGTCAATGAAAACCAGTAAGGAAAGCAGTAAAGTCACACGGGCCGACTATATGATACCCTTCACCACTTTCGGTATATTCAACAGATGGAATCCTAACAGACGTCGCATTTTTGAAGGACCATTAACATGAAATTAAACATGGCATTCTGCAACCTATACTAAATTTTGGACAGATATAGAGTTGCTTCTTACAATGGGACAAAACTATCTAAATAAATTTAAACCAATATATCGAAATCTAAACTGATGCCATCAAAATTTGTCACATGTTAGGTAACACTTATTTCAGAATGCTTTGTGCATTCGGCCACATTTTGAGTACTTCATTTACTTATAAATCCAAAGTTCATGCAAATGGAAGGATATATAGGGACTTTGGTGCACCATTTACATAAAATAATCTGAGCCGATTTTCACGAAATCTAACACAAATCTTTCTAGATTTATTTCAGTACGCTATGCCAAATTTCGTGCAAATCGAAGGATATATAGGGACTTTGGTACACTATTTACTTAAAATCTGACGAAAATATATATGGGAGCTATATCTAAATCTGACCCGATTTTCACGAAATCTAACACACATCTTTCTAGATTTAATTCAGTACGCTAAATCTAAGGCTATATAGGGACATTGGTGTACCATTTATATAAAATCGAACGAAAATATATATGGGAGCTATATCTAAATCTTAACCGATATCCACGAAACTTACCACACATCTTTCTTGACTTGATTCAGTACGCTATGCCAAATTTCGTGCACAGCGAAGTATATATATATATGGACTTTGTTCCACCAGTTACATAAAATCGGACGAAAGTATATATGAGAGCTATATCTAAATCTTAACCGATATCCACGAAACTTAACACACATCTTTCTAGACTTGATTCAGTACGCTATGCCAAATTCCGTGCACAGCGAAGTATATATATATGGACTTTGTTCCACCAAATAACCTGTACTTTGTTTACAATTTAACATCTACAGACAGACGAACGGACGGACGAACATGCATAAATCGACTTAAAAAGTGATTCTATGCATATTCTCAAAAGGAACCCTGTGTCTATCTCGCTTCCTTTTGCCTGTTACAAACATATGCAAAAAGACATAATACCCTGTACCACAGTGTGGGGAAGGGTATAAATATAAGGCATGGGGCTATTAAAAATATTTTTCCGGTGGAAATAATGGCTTTGGTTATCGTGAAAATATTTTCTTCAAATCGAAATATTGGCATAGATTTTTCATAACAATATATTTTCGAAAGAAAATATGGGCATAGATTTCGGCTATTCTTCATAATTTGTTTATTAAGTGGTGATATACACAACTATGTTGTCAGGGTACTAAAGATTTGTGCAGCTCCATGTTTTCGTAACTCCGCGAAATATTGGTCCTAGACCCTTTAAGTATACCGATCATATCATTATGTATACCGATCATATCTCGACTAGCTGAGTCGAGATACAGGCCAAAGTTATGGACCAAACTTCACGAAATTTTGCATGTAGGATGGGTTCTGGCCAATGAAGACCCCTATTGTTTTTGGAAAAGATTATTTAGGGGATGAAATGGACCAACTACTTAATTTTTATCGTTCTTTCTGGTCGCTCCAGAGGCCGCAATAATGGCCCAAACATCGTGAATTTTTACATGGAGAAGGGGATCGGGCCAAAGAATAAGCATGCCCATTTTGATAAAGATCGGTCAATATTTAGCGGGTCAAATGGACCCTGACTTTGGTGTAAAAAATTAGCACTGAAGGATATAGTCCCAAGATGTTGAGTCGTATGTACTCGGATGTGGGAGTTACACTTAAATATTTGCAGATGTTTACGTATTTATATATTACTTAGTAACCCATTACCACACTAGAGGGCGGAAATATAGCGCTGATCGCTTTGAGTATCCAGGTATGGTCCAGGACAACGTCTATAATTTTCGGTGAAAAGAATTTAAGAAGATGGCCTATATTTGTTCCATGAAAAAATTATAGGCATAGGGTTTTTATGGAAAAAAATATAAGCGTGGAATTTTTTACAGTTAAGGGAACTCCTTTCGAGAAGAAATTAAAAGCGTAGATTTTTTTAAAAAATATCCTAAAGATATATCATAGGTCTCGATTTAAAGAAAAAAACTTCAATGCGGAAAATGAATGAGCTGATTTCATAAAAAAATTTAAAATTTAAGGCGTGGATTTTTTAAAATATATTTTTAAGACGAAATTGAAAGTGTGGATTAATTCAAAATTTTCCAAGAAGAATATTGAACGGTTTCGATTTTTTAAGGCTAAAATTGAAGGTGCACAATGTGCTGGGATTTTTAAAAATAGTTTTCCAAAGTAAAGACATCGATTTCTGTACCCTAGACGACCGACTGTGACACATTTTTTAAAATTGTCATTCAAATGTAAGGATTTTTTAAAATAGCTTTTTAATACGCCGATTTTTTTGAAATATTTTTAAGTGGATTTTAAAAGTGTGATATTTTAAATATATTATTAAGAAGACCAGCTTACTTAGAACAACAAGATGGTTTAAAAATTATTTTTAGAAGAGGGGGATGAAGTGGTAGTTTCAATTGAAAATTAAAGCCTTGGAGCTTTAAAAAATGTTTTAACAAAAATTGTGTGAGTTTTTTTTTTATCCGATAAGTTGATATTATACCCAAGAGCAGTGATTGACCTTTAAATTGATTTGATCTATAGGTCACAATTGTAAGGCGAACATCACAACACTACCCACGGTGCAGGGAATTTTGACAAGTGATTAGAAGGGCAGTACTGAATATTAATATTATTTGTTGACTTCTAGTCGGTCAAGAGGGTGCAAATATCGCGAAATATTGTCCAAGCTCAGAATATAGAACCACAGAAAATATATTCGTGGAAATTGTGTAGGGTATCATATGGTCGGTCCCGTCCGACTATACTGCTCCGCTCACTGGTTTTTAAATATATTATTAAGAAGACCACCTTAAATAGAACAAGAAGATTTTTTGTTAATTATTTTTCGGAGAGGGGGAAACGAAGTCTTGGGGTTTTAAAAAATGTTAAAAAAATACTATTTTTCAAACGAACTTTTGTGTGTGTGTGTGTGTGTGTATGTTTTTTTAATAAAACCCAATATTCAATTTTTTTTTTACAAATCATTTCGATCTTTATTACTTCATTTACAAAAAAAATCATTGAATTATCAGTCAAAAGTTTTGTTTATCTTTTTTTAAATATAAAATTTTGTTTTGGAATAGAGAACAAACGTACATTCACTAAAGAGTGGTGGAAAAACTATGTAGTTGGGATGAAATAATAGTAATAAATATAAATACAAAGGTATATACATACATACAAAAAAATTATATAATATGACAAATGAACATTTCTTTATGGCAATGATGATTTTTTAGAAAATATAGCAGTGAAATAGCTTTAGAAAATAAAAACAAAAACACATAAACTATTATGTCCAACTGTTTAGTACCGGGTTACCAATAGGGCAGCAACATAAGCCAAAGCGGGTTGAATCAAAATATATATTCTAGCTATGACAAATCCATACACATACACCCACCGCATCACATCTTCGTTTGGATTTACCAGGGATGAGCATAACCATGGGCCAATGGCAAGACAGGAGCATGATAACTGGCATGCAATGCTAAGGGAGCTGCAGCATAGGTTGTCTTAATCACTGGTGCAACAATGGGCTGGACAACATGAGCTGAGCTGTGGACCTGGCTAATGGATTGATGGGATACGGCAGTGGGTACGGATTTGACAATGGCACCAACTTTGGCATAGGCAGGCTCATGGATGACAGTGGCAGGAGCCGACAGTAGAAGAGGACCATGGCCAGCCAAGTAACCGGGACGAGCAGCAGCTACGGCCAAAAGAGCAGACAACACCACCTGCAATGTCAAGAATAAAATTGAAAGTTCACCAAAATATCCTATAGTATATCCTTTTGCGCTCGCCTTACCAATTTGAACATTTTGATTATCCTTTAGGAGTTTTGAAGTGGAGAGTTAAGAAATAGACAAAGAGGTCTGTGTTGCTGATGTGACTGTTTAGACTGTTTTGAAGTCTGAATAGTTTATGTTTTAATCTAGGTACGGGTGACCATTTATATACTAAAAACGTGGCTTATTTCCTCAAATGCTTGTTCGAAACCAAACGAAATTCCCCTAAAATCAGCTGCAGATGCTGACGTTGCCGCCGCTGCCGTTTGATGCAAAGCCATACAAATGAGGTGAACACAAACCATAACAAAGGCGGCGAACAACAACAAAAACGCGAGCAAATGTTGGCGAAAATTGTTTGCAAAATATGAGAATAGAAACATAAAGCAACAAAAACAAAACATTTCAGTTCATAAAGCAACATACCGCCCGGCAAGCTGACTGGCTGGCTGCCTGGCTGGCCTTCTCAACCGGGTTCGAACTCGCTTAGCAGACACTTTATAATCACGTTAATGCACAATTTGTTGTTTGTTGTATTGTTTCCTAGATCCAAGTTGATGCATTGTTAGTGTGGTGTTGGAAATGTTTGTTGCTATTGTTGTTGGTGGTTTGGCGTCTTTAATGTGAGTGACCAGAAGAAAAAAATAATGACAATTGGTGGTTTAGAATTTAGGTGGCAATGACGTTGGCGCTGCCGGTTAACCACCACCTCTCAACTATGCTCCCATAAGTGGGTTTTACAATAAATAAAATTACAACATACATACACATATATAAATCGATTACAACATATTCCAGGCAAACACACACAGGCGACGTCATTCGACTTCTGGCCATTGCTTAATTTTTCTTCTGTTTGTGAAAATTACTCACTCTTGATTTTGTAACAGAAAATTTATTTAATCAGATATCAAGAAAAATAAGAAAGAAAATTAAAATAATGGTAATTTCTTGAAAACTAATTCAGGAATTCGATACAATGTTATTTGAACAAAAGATTGGAGAATACCTACGAAAACGTTTTGTATTAAAATAAAAACAAAATTAAGGACTATCCCAATTGTGGTTTCTTATGCCCTACACAAAATTTTGTGATGGTGTCACAAGTGGGTAACGCCTCGAAATTTTGGTCCTAGACCATCCATCGCCATATCGTGATTAGCTAGACACAGTATATATTTAATCCTGAAGGACATAAACCCGAGAAGTTGATAGTAGATCCAAAAGGAGTGGTTGACCTTTAAATTGATACCAATTATATTGTCGTATGTTCTCGAATGTGGGAGATACACTTACATATTTACAGATGCTTACGTATTCAAATATTATTTTAGTAACTCATTACCACACTAGAAGGCGGAAATATAACTCTGATCGATTTGAAATTTTCCATGTGGTTCCAGTTGTGGTCAAAGACAGAGCCTATAATTTTCGGTGATAATCAGATAAAGATTTTGGGATGAAGTGGACCGAAAACTTAATTGTTTGTGTTTTTTCTAGTCGATCTATAGGCCACAATTGAAAGCCGAACATCACAACACAACCCACGGTGAAGGGAATCTGGACAAATAATTAGAAGAGCTGTACAGAATATTAGTAATATTCGGAAAATATGTCAGTGTAAGGAAGAGGTGCTGTTGACCTCTAATCGGGCAAGAGGGTGTAAATGTCACGAAATATTGCTCACGCTCGGAATAAACATCCACAGAAAATAAGAACTCCGTGGTAATTGTGTCGTATGGTCGGTCCTGTCCGACTATACTGCTCCGCTCACTGGTTTATTAGACATTTTCACTTCATGAACTATTTTTACAGATAGATTTTTAGATGAGATATTTACGGCCACACAAAGCAATAAGGCTAAAGGGTATAAAAATGAACTTTAATTATACCCTCAGACTTATGCTACTACACTTCGCTACGCAAAACGTGCCTTCACGAAATATTGGTTTTAGACCCCATGTTTTTTGCACAAATCCGTTTCCGAAAATTTGGAGTCGGTCCACTCCTTCTGTTAACTCGACCACAAAATGGTCAAAATTTCGTTAAAAAGGATATTGAAAGAGTGGATTTTAATAAAAAGTTTTCAATACCAAATCAAAGGTATGGTTTAAAAAATTGAAAGGTCAAAATTTCGTTAAAAGGATATTGAAAGAGTGGATTTTAATAAAAAGTTTTCAATACCAAATCAAAGGTATGGTTTATAAAATTGAAAGCGGGAATTGAAAGCATTTATTCACTATAGAGGTCACATCTATGATCCAAACATCCCGACCAAGGAATAAGCATGACTATTTCGAAAAAGATCGGTCAAATATTTAGCTGGTCAAATGGACCCTGACCTTTGTGAAAAAATATGACAAAATTGGTATTCTCTTTACTTAGTCCGAAGATGGGACCCACTGGTGCACTCCTTCGCATACCTCACTCACTAAAGTTCAAAATGTTCAATATTTATAAATCCAATATTAGACTAATGGAATGTTTGATTTGATCCATATCTGTGCATATCGTATCATTTATCTCAAATTTAAATTAAGTTCAGAAATGGGGAAAATCGGTCCATTCCATGTGGCACCTCCCCAACAAAATAGTAAAAATGTTGCTTAAAAATGAATTTGATAATATCATCGAACATAGCATCCGATTCAAAGCAAACATTGTACAAACTAATATTTTAATCATGCCTTTATATTGTTGGAAGATGGGACTTATCAGTCCTACCTCCTCCACAAAGGCTTAAAATTTGAAAATTTGTAACTCTTAAATTGAGCTAACGAATTATCGAAATTTCACTCAAACTTTACACATCGAAATTTTGTTTCCTAGCCTAGATCGAATCCAAAAAGGGGATCCATCGGTTTACTCCTTGTGGTAACTCCCGATCGAAATTTTTAATTTTTTAATATAATAACAATGATAAGGAATCGCCGAATTCATGCAAAAACTGCACATCTGGTACCTAAAAAAAAATTTACTCAAAATTAATTTTATAACAATTTTTATGCGAACGAACTATCCGGACTATTCAACAAAACTTTGTACAACCTAATATTTTAAGTATGATTGTATAATGTAGGAAGATCGGACTTATCGGTCCTACCTCCTCCACAAACGTTCAACATTTTGAAAGATTGTAAATCTCATATGGAGCGTACGGAATATCCAATTGCATCCAAACTTTGCACATGTTAATATAATTACCTTACATACATTTAGCTTAAAGACCCGTTAGCCTTCTCCTTGTGGTATCTTCCCCACAAGATGTCAACATGTTGAAATTTTTTTAATATCAAGGTAATAGAATGTCTGCTTTGATTCAATCTTTGCAAATCGTAATATTTTTCCACACCTACATTGAATCATACGGAACTTCTGGTAACCCTCCTTCTTCTGCTAACTCTCCATAGATGGATAACACTTTAATAAAACCAGTAAGGAAAGTAGTAAAGTCGGACGGGGCCGACTCTAGGATACCCTTCACCACTATGGGTACATTAAACAGGACTATTAACATGAAATTGGATGAAATAAAATATGTGATATTTATCTAAATGTGAATCTACCTAGATTTGTCCATAAAGTGTGTAAATCGACTTCAAACAAATATAAATAGGTCATCCGGTTGACTATGTCTGTACTTCTAGAAAACGCAACTACGTAATTCTATGCTCAATTTTGTACGTTGTGCAAAATTTGATGTCAATCTGACTAACATGAGGAGTATGATGCCCAATTTGCTTGATATCGGGCGAAAAAATATATGTAAGCTATATCCACATATTAAGCGATTTCAAACAAACTTGTCACAGGTTAGGTTATACTAACTTTAGAACGTTTTGTTCCTATTGGTTCCTTGGTGCGTCAATTACATAAAATCAATCTATAATAAAATGGAGCTATATCTAAATCTGGACCGATTTTCACGAAACAAGGCAGACATCACTCTAGGCTCAATTCAGTACGTTATGCCAAATTTCGTGCAAATCGAAAGATATATAGCGACTTTGGTGAACCATTTACATGAAATCGGACGAAACTATATGTGGGAGCTATATAGAAATATGGACCGATTTTATCGAAACTTGGCAGACATCACTCTAGGCTCAATTCAGTACGTTATGCCAAATTTCGTGCAAATCGAAAGATATGTAGCGACTTTGGTGCACCATTTACATGAAATCGGACGAAACTATATATGGGAGCTATATCTAAATCTTGACCGATTTTCACGGAGCTTGGCAGACATCATTCTAGACCTAAATGATTAGGCTGTACCAAATTTCGTGCTAATCGAAAGATATATAGGGACTTTGGGGCCCCATTTACATTAAATCGGACGAAACTATATATGTGAGCTATATCTAAATCGGGACCGATTTTCATGAAACTTGGCAGACATCATTCTAGGCCCAATTAAGTACGTTATGCCAAATTTCGTGCAAATCGAAGGATATATAGGGACTTTGGGGCACCATTTACATGAAATCGGACGAAACTATATATGGGAGCTATATCTAAATCTGGACCGATTTTCTTGAAACTGGGCAGACACCATTCCAGACTCAATTCAGTACGTTATGCCAAATTTCGTGCAAATCGAAAGATATATAGAGACTTTGGGGCACCATTTACATGAAATCGGACGAAACTATATATGGGAGCTATATCTAAATCTGGACCGATTTTCACGAAACTTGGCAGACATCACTCTAGGCTTAATTCAGTACGTTATGCCAAATTTCGTGCAAATCAAAAGATATATAGGGACTTTGGGGCACCATTTACATGAAATCGGACGAAACTATATATGGGAGCTATATCTAAATCTGGACCGATTTTCACGAAACTTGGCAGACATCATTCTAGACCTAAATGATTAGGCTGTACTAAATTTCGTGCAAATCGAAAGTTATATAGGGACTGTTTACATTAAATCGGTTAAATATATATATGGGAGCTATATCTAAATCTGAACCGATTTTTCCCAATTTCAATAGGGTTCGTCCTTGGGCCAAATAAGTGACCTATGCCAAATTTCATCCAATTCGGATCATAAATGCGACCTGTACTTTGTTTACAATTTAACATGGACAGACGGACGGACGGACGGACAGACGGACATGCG